AGGGGATATGATGGACGCTAACGCCCCATCCAGATTCCCTCAGTCAACCCCCGAGGTTGTGTGCAACTCTGGGGGACAGCTGCCCATGACCCTGACTGACAGCATCCAACCTTGGGTCCCCACATCTTCATCCTCAGGGCCCCTGCAGGCTTCAGGAATGTGCTCAGTCCTCATGTAGGGAGTCCAGAAGTGGTGGACAGGGCGGCGGGTAGTGCCCCAGAAGCAACCCTCGGCCAACAAGGGACGGAAGTTGGCGGAAGAGTGCCCCGCACCCTCACACCTGAGTGGAGCAGCTCTGAGGCCTGCGGGACACAGTCTCTCGAAGGTTCCATGGCACCAAGCTCCAGCTGCTTGGCATCCCACCCTTCATTGGCTTTCCCCCTCTCCGGTCTCACTTCCCTCTTCCTTCCGTGCATTTCTTGGGATCATCTCCAAACATACTACTCAGTCTAGGTCCTTGCCTCACCGGCTGCTCTGTGGAAGCCCAGAGCCCAACCTAAGAGGACAGGCTCACAAAAAGCAATCCACACAGGGCAGAGAGTAGGAAGCTGGAGACAGGGAGGCGGTTCTGTGTATGCAAGCAGGAGGAGCAAGGCTTCCCAGCAGAGGAGGCTGAGCTGGGCCCTGAAGAAAGCAGAAAGAAGAGAAGGAGAGAAAGTCTTCGAGAAGGCCCCGAGACAGGAGTGCCTCGGCTGTGGTCAGAGCTCAGTGAGCTTATGGGTCCAGAGGGGACCTCCCTGGAACTCTCCAAGCCTCATCAGAGGCTTTGACCTAGCCTTTGACACAAATCTCTCTTTACCTGGAAACCACCAAGACTCAGAGGAAACATTTAAATGACTTTCCTAGCATGTGGAGAGAAACGTTTGCGGGGTGGATTGTGTCCATCTGCTGGTGCATACAACAGGTCCCCTCCACATCCCAGCTCGGCAGCCCCTGCTGAGCCGGCTCAGGCCCAGCCCCCAACATCACACGCAAGCATCCTGCTCTCCAGAGTTCTCTCTGGAAGTCCCAGCAGCCATGGATCGGTTAGTGGGGAAGTGAACTCTACTCCAGGCTGACTGCACAGGCAGCAGGTGCGGGGCTCCCAGGCAGGGCTGGCCATTGCCATTCTCATTCTCACCAGCATCATGGTCAGCACCCACAGGGCCCCGGGGAGGAGGGTTGTGGCCCCCAGGCCTCTGCCATGCCCCCTCCACAGACCTTCCCTCCAAAGGGCCAGGGTCCAGAGGGCCAAAGGTAAAGCCTGGGCTCTGCCCTACTTCAGAGACAGGTGATCCCTCTCACCCCCTGGGGCCCAGGCTCACCCCAAATAGGGGCAGGGATGCTGTCTCAGCAGGGACCATGGAGATTTGAGTGAAGAGCATTCCAGATAGAGGGGGAGTGAATGCCGAGCCACGGGCAGGAGCACGCTCTAGTGGCCGGTCTGTCCTTCCACACCCCCGCCTCTTCCTGTGCCCTGTGTGGGCTTGCTGGGTGGGGGTCAGGGACGAACCAGCTGAAGTTAAGAACCCAACCCCGGGGTATTGACCCTCTCTTGTCCAAGCTGGGTAAGGGAAAAAGGAAGATCAGAAAGCAGAAGCTGCGTGGGCCAGGCCTCGGGGCTCCGTGAGGTGGACAAGGGCCAACGAGGGGCTCAGCTCATTTGGTTCCTGGGCTCTGCATCCCCTGCTCAGAGGGCCCTGCTTAACCCCATGCCAACCACTAGGAGGGGGATTTGAGTGATGTCTTTTCTTTTTTTTAGATTCATCTGTACTTTCCAAGCATTCTTTGATGGACACATATTTCTTTTCTGTAAGACAACTATTTAAAACCAGCAGCAGCATCCTTTAGCTAAAGGCCGGGTCTAGCCGATCCACAAATGCCCCCGGCTCCCCCTCGATGAGCCACTCCAGTCTGCTCCCATGGTCACACCAGGGGGTGGGAAGGAAAAAACACAATTGGGGCTTGGTAAGCTATCCCTCATATGGGCCTTGCTAGGCTGCTCTGCGTCCTGGAACCCAAGGCCTGCCTCAGGTGGGGAGAGGTTGCCAGAGGACCGTCGTTGCTGGAGATGGAGCATGAAAGGGTGTCCCAGTGAGAGGGTGGGGACTTTGACTAAAACAGCCAGCTCCATGGGTGCAGAAGTGCCACCGTTGGGTGTCTTCCCTCTGGTGATCCTAATTCCCCAAAGCCATAGGGACACTAGAGGAACTCAGGAGAACTGGGCCAATGGCTTCATTATTTGATGCTGAGATTCATGTAACGTGCAACTGCTTCTGGGACAAAGAAGGATTTAGGATTCCCTTCCAGGAGCCCCCTGATTCATCTCTGGCCCCACACACTCCAGGCAGGTGAGGGCCCTCAGTAAGGACAGAAGGACGAAGGAAGTGCCTGGCATCCCGCCTTAGCCCCACATTTCCCTCCAGCCTTGTCTCGTTTCTCTCCCCCCCACCCCCACCCCACCGCACCAGCTTTCTCCAGACACTGTGCAGCTTGCTTCTGCGTGTGTCCTTCCTGCTGCATGGTCTTCCCTCCCCGTCCTTCATCCTTCGGGGCTCATGCTGGACTGCCCTCCCCGAGGGAGGCTGCCTTCAGCCCAGCCTCGTGAGCTCCCCCTCTGTGGGCACCTCCGATGCCCAGGACGGGAAGCTCCGTTGTGTCCCAGCATGCCACTGGCATCTGGCACAGACTTGGAATGTAAATGCTGGCAAAGGGTGGGAGCGGCATGGCCGGTGTGGGCCCTAGCAGGGGGCAAGGCCAGGGGCCCAGGGAGCGGAGCCTTCCCCACCCCTTTCCTCCAGGTTGATTTCTAGGCATGTGCATACCTTCCTGACCAGGAGGTGTGTGCTGGGCAGTGCCAGGGTGGAGAAGTCAGGAGCTTCTGAACTCACAGGGAACTGGAGGGTGTAGGAGGAGGAGCAGAGCCTGGAGAGATGGCTTCGGTTCCCCCCGACGGGACCGACCTCAGTGCTTTCCCTGGCCTGCCAGTGTGGGACCCCTGCCTGGCAGCAGGCAGCTCACAGCGGATGTGTGCCCCAGCACGGTCTGTGAGGAACGAGATGCATCTGCCCATCCTACTCAGCCCCACCCATCCCTCAGGGAGCCCGGCTCTGCGTGGTCCCCGCAGGTCCTCCCACCGGGAGCCTCTCTCACCATCCACACCGTTCCTGTGCTGTGTCCTCGCTTCTGCTCCGTTTGCCAGGACTGCAGTTCAGTCTGCTGGAGGCTGGGGGTGGGGGAAGATTGGGACAAAACTATTCTTCCCCTTGCCCTAAACTGACTTTTATCCGGGCCCAGGAAGAAGAAAAAGCCAGCCGGCCACCACATCGGCCCGTGGGCAGAAGTGGGTTTGTAGTGGGACAAGGTCAGTGCTCTCAGCACTGTGCACCTCTATGGACTTGAGAATCAGGTTTGCCATCGGGGGCCCTAAGAGCTCCCAGGAATGGGTATCCTCCCAGGCCCAAGAGGGGTACTAGCCAGGTTAGGGGGATGGGAGAGCCATTCTTCTCAGAGCACGGAGACTCCCAGAGAGCAAATAAATTTGATTATATTGAACACAACAATTGATTTTTTTCTAAATAAACATGCAGGAGAAAATGGTAACAGGCATCTGTTTCTAACGAGAATCAACTGACCCCAAATGAGAAGAAAATCTAGGAACACAAACGAGCACAAGAAAAAGTGGTTGGGCTGCCGAGGCCTGTCTAGGGAGGGAGGGAGGAAAGGAAACAGACAGACTCCCCCATCAGCCTTTCCCCACCAAGTAGCTTCCTTGTTTGTTGCTCCTCAGCAAATGTGGTTTCAATAATAAGGAGGGAGAGAGCAGCTATCATTTTACTGGCCCTGACTCGGTGCCGAGCCAGCCCTGAGCCCTTTATGCGCGTATCTTTTTTAACCCTCCCAAGAGCCCCACGTGGAGGCCCTGTCGTCCCCACCTCACAGGTGAAATCACCGAGGCACCGCGTCCAAGGTGCACGTTCAGGCCGCGGCAAAGCCGGGACTCAAACCCAGTGGACTCCCGGGCCAGTGCTCTTCCCAACCCTGAGCTATTACCTGGTACCCTCCACTGGCCTTGGAATGAAGGGGAAGAGCCCCAGACCCGCCAGTCCCTTCCCAGCCATGCAGCCAGCGGCACACTGGCCTTCAGTGGGATGGGCGGCTGGGAGCCCAGGCCCATGCCCCGGGACTTCGCAAAGCCAAGTGCCAAAACGCTCCCTCCCCCCGAGAGGGGCCATCCTGCTCTGCTAACAGCCCCACGGCCTCAGCCATGCGCTGAGCCCCGTATGGTGTTCACCCCAGTTGGCCCGTCACCAGCAAGATAAACTGCATCATGTCACAGTGCCTCATGGGCCTCATTTGCCAAAACACCGTGTGGTTCTGCTGCCAATCGGCAAGCACGCCTAAGATAAAAGACCGAAGAGTCACAGGCTGTGTGTTCCAGTTTTCACTTCTTAAAGCTTCCTTTTGTTTCGTGGTCATAGACTTGTGTACACACGTTTGTCTTGAAGTAATCCAGCTCTGGGAATGTACCTGATTAACTTAAGCAGGGCTTATTAGTCCTGTTAACTCAAATTCCCTCATCTCTGAGGCCAAGTATTCAAAAGCAGCCTTTAAGGTGGGATTAAGGCAAAGACGAGCTATTACAGAATAGAACTGGGGCTGGCTTTCCTAAAGCTGCCGTGGGCCACGGCTGTGAATTCCCCCGGACCAACCTCCCCACCGCATCCGGCAATTGCCCTGAGTCTGGCATGTAGTAGGTGCTCAGCAAGTATTTGTGGGACGAGCGAACTGGCTCCTTCCAGCACGTGTGTCCTGTGAAGCGTGTGCTCAGTGTTTAGTAACTATGGACGGGACGGGTTGGCAGGCAGACAGACAGACCGGCCCCATCTCCTCCAGGTGCGCCCGCACTGCCCACAGTAAATGCCCAAGAACTCTACCTGAGCGGGCTGGGTGACCCTCTTCTCTACACCAGCGGAGAAGCCTCGCGGCAGTAACGTCACCCGTCTCTTCCAGCTGACCTGTGTACCATGGCCAACTACGCCCGCCTGAAGAATGTCCTTATGGCGCTCCAGACCCGCCGGCAGCCGCTCCCAGATGAGGACAGCAGACAAGACCCGGCCTCCCAGAAGCGCCTCCTGGTGGAATCTCTGTTTGCGGACTTGGATGCAGACGGGGACGGCCACCTCAGCAGCTCTGAACTGGCGCAGGTGGGTACGGTATTCACTGAACACCGAATTATGGAGGTTTTTCCATCTGGGGTGTAGATAAAGAGAGCCGGGGAGATCCCTGTGAGCAGAATCATTTGTAACTGTCTCTCTAATGGGCCGCTAAGGAGGCCTCTGTCTGGCAAGAGCAGACCTTCCCCTGGGAGTCAGAGAGCTTGTGTTGAGTGCCTCTGAGAATATCTTATAAACAAACCCACGTCAGTGTCTTCTTCCCACCAGCCACCTTCAGCCAATATTGACAAGCTTTGAAGTGCTCTCAGCTAGCTGGCAAAAGATGCACTTCCGAGGGGCTAGTCTCTGATAAATAAATCTCCTCTTCCTTGAGTCCCCTGCCTTCCTTAGCAGGAATGTTGAAAGGAAGTAGGGGCTGGGGGCTATCACCTGGGCATCCCCGAGTCCTCCCCCCTAGGACCTTGCCATTCTGTAGGGTCCAGATATCCACAACCCAACACCCAGCCCGCTTACTTGCAGGAAGCCCTGCGTCCCCCCCTGCCCACCCCCAAGCTGTGCTCTTCCGTTTGAGCAGACACTTGGGATTGGACCCAGTGGTTTGCCTCCCTCCCCAAGCACAGCACACGTGTCCCTGTCTCCAGCTTGGAGGTGGTGCTGGGGCAGTGACTGGCTTTCGGGAGGGCCTCTAGGATGCCGGCAGACAGGCAGGCCAGGTAGGCCAGAAAGACCTGCATTCCTGTCCCACTCTGCTGGTCTCCCTCTTATGGCCTGGAGCCACACCAGGCAGGTGCCAGGGTGAGGTCAGCCTCCCCAAGTTGGCTAGTGGGGTGGGGACAGCCTTTCCTCAGAGCCCGCAGAGTGCCCACCCAAAGGATAGATACTATGGATGAGTCCCCACCTTTGATGCCACTTTAAAGAAATCCTTCCCATAGCACAGTGACCTTAGAAAAGCTGTGGCCAGGTCAGTAGGAAGGACGGGGCTGGGGAGTGCCCCTAGCATTTACTGAGCATCCTCGGTGTGCGTGGCACTAAGCAAGGCCCTTTACTTATGACATAGGAAACAGAAGAGTCCCTTACCGTGTAGTGTAGTCTCTAAGAACACAGACCTTCTGGTCAGGCTTCCTGAGTTCCAGCCTCGCCTCCGGTGTTTACTAGCTAGTGGGTGTTGGGAGACCACCTCACCTCGCTGCACCTGTTGCTCGTCTGTGACCGCCCCAGGGTCAGCGGGTGGGTGAAAGGAGCTAAGGCACGTGAGGTGTTCTGCATGGTGCCTGGGACGTGGCACGCTCTCAGTAGGTGGGAGTACTCGGGGTCAATGCCACCGTCATCATCAATGGGGCCGGTCTGTCCGTCTGCCTGCCAACCCGTCCCGTCACAAGACCTGAGTACAGAGCAGTCACCTGGAGGCTTGGCCATGCAGGGTCCCCCTCTCAAGGCCCTCTACTCCAGCCAGCCCAGAGTCTGCTTGCAGAGTGTGCACTGGGAACCGCAGATCCTCAGGCACTTGCAGACCTTGCTCTGCTCGTCCACACGTGGGCAACACGTGCCAGTCCATCCAGAGCCTGCCTCCCAGGAGGCCTGCTGCCCACAGCCTCCCAGGCACACAACATCCCAGCCCTGGCAGCCACCGTGCCATCACCTGCAGGCGCGCTTGGCTCCCAGCTATGGGGAAGACCCCAAGGAGCAGGGCCAGCCACCCACAGATGACCCGCGCCACCCTGGGAAAAGCCCAGGCCCCGTCAGTTACAGTTACCTGAAAGAAGAACCATCTGGCAGGCCCCCGCACTAGATGCTGTGCAGGGAGCACCGAATGCAGGTGGCTTTGGCTTGTCTTAGAAGCACCTGCGGGCTCTTGCCGCCCCAGCCCCACGGGGCTCCCAGGTGGCTGACAGGTAAACAGACCCTTCGTGGGCTTGTTGCTCTGACCTGGCGGGGATGTGCCCAGAGGCACCTGAAGCCATTAACAAGCATGGTAATTGGGCTATGATCTCCTCTTCAAAATTTAATGTATTTAAAGTCCATTTCATAAACCTGCCAAGCGGAGCCCAGCTAAAGGGGGCCTTTCCCTGACACTGAATCAAAGGCGTCAGGGAAAAACGTGTAGGTCCTATGAAAAGTTAATCAATTTCCAATGCAGAAATAGACAAGGGGAAATTTCCATCTTTACCAGATTGATTTCCAGCATTATGGTTGATCTCCCTTTTATTGAACACTTACTTGCTGGGTGAGGGGTCATTTTTTTTTAACGTTATCACATTAAATTGCCTTTAGTATAGCAGGCCAAGCTGAGACTGTTAAATAAAGAGAAAATGTCTCTGTCCCCCTGCCCCCCCAAAATAAAATGAAATAATTTTCTTTCTTCTAAGATTTTATTCTGAGCATTTTCCTTGCAAGACTTTAGTCCCAGACACCCCAGCCTCCGGCTCCAGCTGAGCGAGGGGTGCCTGGAATTTCCACACACGGTCTCCTTTTGGCATGTGGCTGGTCATGCTGGGGAGGCCACATCCAGAGAAAAGTTCACCAGGGCGCATCCAGAGCCCCATGCCAGAATCCCCCGGGCAGACGCTTGTGCCCCTGGCAGAACGGGGTAGGCAGAGGCGGGGAGCTCAGCCCCAGTCAGTAGCGAGGCAGCTGCTCCTCTCGGGGGGAAGGGGTTCTGTGGCTCCCCAGTGCTGCCCTGTGGCTGGGAAGGGCTGGCTGGGGGGCTGGGCAGGCGTGCACGGATGCAGCAGTGACCCTCCTGCCCTACACAGCTGGGAGCCATGGGATCAGACGTTTGTCTGATCAGGTTCCTTCTCTTTTCTGTTTCCCCATCTGCGGCATGAAGGGGCAGACCAGGCTCTTCAAGGATCGTGCCCAACCAAGAGTGTCTGGGGTCCGCCCGCCCCCATGGGGAGAAAACACACCTGAACGCTCATCCTGACTCTGCCCCAATCCCTGTGTGACCTCGGGAAAGTCCCTGCCCTCTCTGAGCCTCATCTCTAGAAGGAGAGGCTCAGGCGAGAGGAAACCAGAGAGCATGGGGTGCTCCCCATGGCCCACGGAGCTACCATGGGAGCCCTCACCCCACCCTCAGGGGGGCGACCCCAGTCCCTCTTGGCCTAAGCCATCTTCCAGCCAGGCCCAGAGCCCTACCCTTATTGCCTGCTCTGGCCTCATCCCTTTCCTCACCCGCAGCACGTGCTGAAGGAGCAGGATCTGGAGGAGGACTTCCTGGGGTGCTCGCCCGGCGACCTCCTCCGATTTGATGACTCCAACAGTGACGGCTTCTTGACACTCCACGAGCTCTACACAGCCTTCCGTAAGTCACCGCCAGGGCGGGCTCTGGCTCTGGGGCCTGTCCTGGGTGGTCGCCAGCACTGGTTTCTTTTACACGCGAATTTGTTGGAATTTGTTTTGCAACAAGCCTGAGCTTTAAGAACAAGGTAGACGAGCATGGGTGGGAAGAGCGAGGGCTTGCTTCTGCTCTTTTTGGAGAAAGGGTCTTCTTGGTGGTGTTGGAGAAGCCCAGGACTGTGCTGTAAGCGTGTCGGGGCGGGGTGGGGGGAACTGCTACACACCCTGGGGGATGGTCTATGACTGCGCCTGGAGGGAGGGGCTTTTAGGGTTTTTCCAGGCTGCCACCCGGCCACACCAAAAGCAAATCCTGCAGGAGGGTTCTGGAGGCTTGGCCAGGCAGGAGTAGGGAGCTTCAGGAGAGACCTCATGTAGTTCAGCAGTGAGGAGAGGGGAGGGTGCTGCCAGGCCCAAACTTGAGATGAGAGGGGTGGTCGCAAAGAGAGGAAGCCCCTTTATGTCAGAGAACATTCCGCCTCTGCTTAAAGCAGGTGGTATGTGCATCCTGCGTGAGGCATCTTCGGACACCGCCCGCAAGCTCCCTGCTCCTAACAGCAGGCCTGGGGATGTGGGGAGTAAGTGCACTGAGGACTCCGAACCACAGCATCCTCTCCCCCAACCCCAGCCTCTACCTGGAGTTCTGCTTTCCAGAAAAGTATTCCTGCTCCGCGTTGACACCACTTCGGTGCCCTTACTGCGAACGTTCACCAGGCCTGGGAGGGAGGCCTCTTGACTGGCCGGCAGGAAGGGCTCTCGTGGTAGATGGTGGAGGTACTCCCGTGACATGAGCAGAGAAGGGAGTGTGGCTGTCCCCTGCGGGTGGTGTCCGCGAGCTTGACACGTGGGTGCCTTTCCAGTTCACAGCATCCCTCTAACCCCAATTACAGGGCTCTGCTTGATATCCTGTGACCACCTGCGGTTCCCCGTCACCCCCCTCCCTGCCCGCTCCTGACACTCACATTGACGTATACTAGTTCATAATGAGGTGTGAATGACTGGTAGGCTTCACCCGCTGTGGGGAGTGTCCGCTTTGTGGATAGAGTAATTTATGCCTTGAAAGAAATCTCTTAATTTTAGAATGTGTGGTGGTAGCAGCTGCTCCCTAGACCCAGCTCATAAGAGCCAATTAGATTTTCAGGAATTTTGCAGTTAAACAATTGCTAGCTTTACACCAGCCATGCCGGGAGTATTTACACCACAGAAATTTATACCCCACAAATGCTACAAAAGTGGGGGGGCTTTTTTTCCTCTGGGGAGCCAGTTGTTAAGCATTGACCTGCCCATCACTGGGCAAGACCCTCCCTCCCGTCCTCAGCGCAACCTCCTGCAATATTCTCTCCACCTTCCCCAGAGACCCCCTGATGATTCTAATCCCAGAGAACAGGAACCAGGGAAGAGAAGAGGTCAGGACAGATGACAGGGAGAGCAGCAACCAGTGTCCTGGGGGACAGCTCTGAGACATTCCCAGCGATGCTTTCTGGTGTATGGCCCCTCTGCAAAAGATGCTCGGAAAGAAAAAGTCAGCAGATTTTCAGAGCCAGGGGCCAAGGCTGGACGTCAAGGACTTGGAGGCTGCACCAGGCATCAGGACTTAGATGTCCCACGATGACACCACTAAGCGGAGCACGGCGCTGCTCAGCTCCGTCCTGGTTCCCAGCACCACAGAAGCCTCTGCCCCATGAGTTCTGTTCCTGAGAATCAGTCAGGGCCAAGCAGCAAACTATTGGCTTTACTCCCCAGGAAATGCAAGCGTCCTGGTTGCCCGAGATGAAAGAGAAGGCCTCCCTGGGCCCCCTAATGAAGGTCATTATAAACATGAGCTACCTGTGGAAAGGGAGGGGAGTCATCACCTTGCCTCCGGCCATGCAGAGCCATGTAGTGTCTGGTTCCTTCATCCCTGGATTATTATTTGAAAAGCTTTATAATCATCATTTTTTAAAGCAAATTAGATTCTGCTATCCCCTTGGACTTGTTTTGAACCAGGCAACCAAACCATTCATCACAGCCCAACCCAAAAAAATAGATATGCAGTAAAATGTAAACTCACAGCCATTACGGAAGCCACAAAATGAGTTAAACCCAGCCATAAAGGCCTGACGGGCAGCCACACAGAGCATGTGGCGTCAATGGTTTTTCAAAGTCATGGGAACTCTACACTGAATCCCCGCAGCTCTGGGAATGGATTTATGGTTCAGTGAATGTTAAATAGGTAATTGAAATGAGACATATAGGTACAACTTATTACCCAGACATCAATGGACATTATAGAAATCTCACTAAAACTCAGAAAGTAATATCTCACACATTTTGGCAACAACATTTTTGATTTAATTTCAAAACCTGGAGCTGATGAGCTGGCAAAGGTGGAGACTTTGAAATTGTATTTGCTTTCTTGCCAGTGTCCTTGGGTTTCAGGCAGGACAGGACAGGGTCTGTGGGGTGACTCCTGGCAACACTCGGTCGCTCTCTTGAAGATGGGTTTGGAGGACTTTTCCCTGCAAAGCGGGTTGTATTAAGTTTTTGGTGTCAGGGGAAGGGGGTGTCCTAAATCATGTCTTCTCATGCAGCTAGCTTAGCTCAGGCTGGGCCAGTGTTTGCCATTGTCTGCAGCTGGCTGAGGGCATTGCCAGGGACCCCCAGCTGGTGGCTGCCGTGCTCGGCTGAACTGGTTCATGGCGGGGCTGCCCCCTCCTCCAATCTCCGCGGAACAGGTGACCCCGCCCCAGGGAGGGGTGCAGAGGACAGATCCCTCAGCCATGGGAGTCAGTTCTGTCTGACTGTCCGATGGAGCTAAGTCTCCCGATCACCCATCTCTGTGCACGGACAGGAGCGACATAGAAGGTGGGGGGGCCTCCATCTATCACCTAAACATTGTCTTCGAGTGGCTTTTGGCATTCCAGATCACGGGCTGATCTCGGAACTGAGGGCACATGCCCTCCACTCTCCCTACCCGCCGGACACAGGACCCCACTCCTTGCTGGGAGGCAGAGGCCCAGGCTCCAGGGTCCCTGGCGAGCAAGATGTGCACCGGCCCCGTCCATCCATCACAATAAACTAACCTAAAAGTTGCTCGTTTAAAAAGCTTTTCAATAATGCATGTGGTTGCACTTTTCTGAATGTTTGGGTTGGGATCATGGGGAAAACATGTTTCTTGAAAGAGGATTTTTCTCTCCCTTTAAATTCATTACAAGTTTCTTCTGCTTTTGAGAAAGATACTTGTCCTTTTAATTAATCCTGTGAGAGCGGTGTGTTGGATGGGAAGGAAGGGTTGGAGCAGTGAGCTGTGCAGGCTGAAGGGCTTCCCGCGTTCATGCGCCGGGATCACAGATGCATCGTGTCCGTGGGGAGAGCCTGTTGGCCGAGAGCCGCGGGGAGCTGCCTGTGCGGGAGCGGGACACCCTCCCTCCGCTCCGGGCCGACGGGAAGGAAACAGTGGTTTTGTCTGATGATGGCAATACCTCTGTATCCAGGGCAACCCTGTGAACCAGCTGAAACAGTCAGCTGGCGAATTTATAGCTGTTTTTCTGCCGTCACCGCTGCAACATGGAAGGAAGGTGTGCCTCACCTTCCATGTCCTTAGCCCCTGGAACGAGGAATGCCCGCCACAGGCCACACACCACGCCAGACCCGCCGTCTCAGGCGGTCCTCGGGGAACCCTGTGCCGAGCACAGTGCTAAACCTAAACGACACGCCATCTGTCCGGCTCCTTAGCTGTGTGAGGTGAGCTCAGACTCGGTTCAGATGGCGAGGACGCTGCTTTATCCTCCTCCATTTGGTTCCTGAGTGTTCAGGAGGGAGTAGCAAAATTTCAGAGAGCATGGAGACTATCAAAAACTTGATCGCTTTCGTTCTTGAGTTTGGAGAGCAAGTGATCCCTGTGTTCGGGTCTCGGTGCTGGTGGAGGCCAAGACCATCGGTGGTGTGACACCCTTAACCCCAAAGGGAGAGACGGGTTGCCTCACAGAGGACTTGCAAACCCAAAGATCTGACTCACTGCCCTTGGTCCCTCATTTACTCAGGGGTACACAACACTTAAATTGGAGCAGGCAAGGGAGGAAGCGGAAATCGGAAGACCACTCCCAAGGGCAGAGGTGAGGGTGCTTTCTCCTCACCTCAGGCATAGAGAGAGGGCCTCCAAATAGGCTTTCATGGGACCTTGCCATGTGCCCCCAAAGCCAAAGTCAGGGTGCCATCTGAATCATGTTGCCTGTTACTAGGACTTGAGTTAATAGTGGGCTGTTACTATCAAGTCTTTATAAAACGATACCTAACATTAATCATGGGTCAGCCCTGAGTACTATGACCCAATTTTACAGATGAAGAGAGAGGAATTCAGGGCGCTTAAGTAGCTAACCCACAGGCACACAGCCAGCAGGTAGCAGAGCCATGATTGAACCCAAATGCCTGATTCCAGAAACCTCTTATGCATTTAAACACACTTTACAACTCATCAGCACTCTCCAGTAAGGAGACTCTCACTGTCCCCACAGTGGGTTTCCCTAAATTTCAAGTCCCAGCTCAATGGTCTCCTCCTCTAGGGAGCCTTCCTTGATTTCTCTTCCTTCCGCAGAGCCCCACACGTATCGCCTCTATACAATTAAGAAGGCTGTGGCCTGCTGGTTAAGTGTCAGACCGGTTCAAGTCCTCGCTCTGCCGCTTACTAGCTATGTGACCTTAGACAGTTCTTCACCAGAGCTCAAGCTGAGCTTCAAGTTCCTCATCTGTAAAATGGCATAATCACCACCACAGGGGCGTACTCGGGATTAAATGAGATCATACACGTAAGGCCCTTAGAGTGATACCTTGCATATGGGAAGTGCTAAGTAATCATGAACCAGGTACGTGAGTGACAGACTCGAAGGGTTTTCATGTGTGTTCCCCCAGCCCCCAGCCCCGTCAGCCTGTGCCCTGTCATTGCTATCCTGCCCCAAATGAGTGCATAGGCCCCACCACGCCAGAGGCTGT